TAGAAGCATTTAGCTTGGCATTTATTTTCCAATAGGTATTAATACCCCTTTTTAGCAATGAAAAAAGCAGTGCCCCTTTGCCCACGAGTGTATTCATATTTCTCAGAGACTGTTCCTGCTAAGGGGAAGAGGCAGAGGCTCCTACTCGGACCTGTCAGGCACTCTGGAGAGAACTGGCAGCCCCTTGCTGCCTGCAGGCTTGCCCAGCCCTGGGAATGCACTGCTTTCCTGGCATCTGTGGTCCAGGAGCAACTGGAAGTGACTCAGAGGGATCGTGTGATGTGACTAAGGGCTGGGTGATGCACAGAGCCAAAAGCAGCCCGGGCATCCAACAGGAATGCAGTTAGATGCACTTCCCCTCACTCATTGTGCCAATTTAAATGGTGACTTACTAAGCTTCTGGTGATAAAGAGTCCAAACATTTCAGGCAAACAAGAAGAAAATAAAACAGAAACTTATCATTCCAGGTGAACGTTAATCTTTATGCCATAACAAGTGTATTCACCAGGCAGCAAATCTGTGCTGGGATCACTTTCACTCCCCGCCAGGGAACCACACACATGCAGCTTCTAACACACACCATACCGGCTAGATGGGTGAAAACCAAAATGAAAATATTTACAATGAGCTGGTTGCATACATGATTCTGAATGTTATTGAAACTGAGTGCTCCATAAGAGACAGATAAAGTAGGAACTAAGCTGTGGAACCTAATCAGCTGAATGGTGAAAAAGAAAGAAACCCAGATACAAATGAAAAACGGAAAGTAGAACAAAATTTTAAAACACAGTCTAATTTTCTACTATGGCTCAACACACAGAAACCAATTAAATTAATTTAAAGCACAGCTACACATACTGTATACACCATTTCACTGAAATTACGTGTTGATAGCTACATTATCTACACTAAGTGCAGAGAGGCACTGGACATCATGCTTCAACAAAATGTCAAAACTGGTATCAATAAGGTTTTACAGCTATTATTAACTCAGCACTATTCTACCTGTGATTCCTATTAAGTTAATACCTGTTACATCTGATTTAAAATACAATATAGATCAAAATACAAGGGTATATCAACACACTTCCTACATATATCTCTACTAGAAACTTAGGCTCCAAAACCTCAGCAGAATAACATGGCCCCGTGGATTTCTGAATAGCTGAAGAGATACCCAGTATCAGTATCACCCTGGGACAGCAGTCCTTCCTATTCCATGTTTTCTTTGTTTTGAATTACAGTCAAAGAGCTAGTAGACCATAGAAGATGTTTTTGTTTGTTACATAGTTGTTATGAATATTTATATTATTTTATTTTTTTAATTCCTCTAAAAACAGTTCTTGATTAATTAAGTTGAAATTGTTATAGCCACGGCCTTAATGCCAACAGGTATTTGCCTAATGGGAAGAAATTACCAAAATGAGAAGTAACTGTCATTTGGGTCGAAAAATATAGTGATTATTCTCTTAAAAATACTTAAGAAAACAGGAGGTATTTGTATGGATGCTACCCAATTACATTGGTCCCATGGTGGTTCTGTTGGTCCTTTTTCAAGAAGGCAAAACTAAGTGGCAAAATCCTGAACTTTTTCCACAGGCTGAACTCACACACACTGTATTGTAGCAAGATGGATGGGGTTCCTGACAACATTATTTTTTTGTCTACCCAGATCTATTTTCTATAAACTGCATTCTGAGCCAGTCAGTTATACATGAACAGGTCCTAAGGAAGAACTGCAGGATTTGGCAAAGGTAACATCAGGAAAAATTATAAAAGTGAGGGACGATTGCCCAAGACAGTCAATCTAGAAGATTGCTCAGATTATTACAGTATTGTTCCATGATGAACTGCAGCATTTAAGGACATCTTGAAATTCCTATTTGCTTCTTGCATTTTGTGCTTTGTCTATAATTCATCACCAAACATAACACAAAAATATTTCATTGATCCTAAATGTCATAAGAAAAGTGGTTTTGTTCTAAGGTATAGATCACCTTTAAAGGATTATTTCCCTACCTAATATGATCCCATAGAAAACATTCTAAGAAAATATTTGTGTGTCTGTAAATTACAGATACTAGGTCATTTTATTCAGTCTACACTGTAGTTTCCAGGGAACAAGTACAAACCCCTAAAACCTGTATTATTCTTCACTAAATCAGTGTTCAGCACACAATATTTAACACTATAAATACATATTCAGCTTTTTCTGATGCATTCTACAAGCAAGAGTTCATACCAGATCATAGGAAATAAGATATATTTAAGAAAGGAGCAGGATATATTGGATGGAAGTGTATGCAGTTGTCTTTAAGTAGGAAGGACAACCTGTAGCACACAAGAACTCACAAGTCCATACAAAACACCGACATAGAAATGCTATAATCTACAATACTGACTGCAAAAATCAATATGCAAGCACGGTTTGCTTACAGTCTTTGAAAAAAACTGTAGAAAAAGGAATGGAAAAGAAGGATACAAAAATTCCAGCAGACTACACTATTTATGTACAAAGCAATATACAGGTACGAGACAATCCAGGTTGTGTGATGCTGCCTGTGACAGCTTCCCTTCGTGCAATGGTGTGTGCCACAGAGCATCATTAAAAACACTTGCAGGACTCCTGAATGGTGAGTAGAAGACTGGAAGGACTGGAAGCATTGATCAGCATTGGCTCTGCAGCAGGATGGAGTTAGAAGTGAAAGGGGATCAAAGGTTGGGAAAAGTGAGAAACCTCACAAGTCTTCTTGTCTCCCCAAATCTTGCATTAGGGTTAGTTATTTCCATCCTGGACTAGTAGAGACCTACTCAGTGGCTCAGTCATGTGCTGTAGGCTTTTCCAATGTTTGGAACCTGGGTTTTTTTTTTGTAAGACTCGTGGTTGCAGCTGCACAACCACTTTGTCTGTTAGGTTTGTATCAACCCATTAGTGGGGAGTCACTGGGTTTCCCCTAAACTGGGGAAGATGTCTCTGGGATGGTGGGCACCTGTGAGGGACAGTTCCTCAGAACCTTGTGCCAGGGAGGCCACTCAAAAGAGAAGTAAAAGAATTACCAGCACCTGGGCATCAGCAGCAGCTTGACTCACTCATAGCAGCAGATTTCCATTGAACATGAAGTATGACCAGGAGGAAAAACTGAGGGAGGCACCCATTGCAGAGCCTGCAGCAGGCACTGCTGGGCTCCTCCAGGAGTCCTGCCTCAAATCTGTGCCTTGCTGCCCATGGGAACGCAGACTGATGACTTTGGAAGGAACTATGCACTAAATGCATTGTTGCAGGAAAATCATAAGCAAGAACACAACATTTTCCAAAAAATTCATCTACAGCTTGACTGCCTTCTTTGACACCTCACCATTGTCAATCCTTTGTTTGCTCTTTTTAGTACTTGAAACTACACTCTCTATATCATTCCTTAGACAAAGGAAACGGGGTAAATATTTTCCCTTCAAAGTCACCAATATTACTGGAGAGAAGAAAATAACTCATCTTTCCAAGAATGCTTTCTGCTGGAAACAGGAGCTTCTACATAATCTTATGTGGTGAATTATAGCTGAGGTTAACTGTCCCAAAGGACTATACACCTACCATAATGGCTAATATGAAAAATATCTTAATTGTGGCCTTAAAAGTCACAGTAATAAAAACAAGATAGTCTTCAGGCTCATAACAGAATAACATTACAGTACATTTTTATAAAGTGCCCTTATTTATCCTTCTGTAAATTAATTCAAATGCAGCAATAAAAAGAGCTGAATGGAAGTTAAAGAGATGAGAAACACTTATACCTTTATATCTCCACGAAAGGATTCTTCTGAGCCCGGTACTAAAGCTCAGAGCCTTTTTAAAGATGAAAAGAGAAGTGAACGTTAGAGGGGAGGTTTAATATTGCCTATAGTAATGGGGATTTGTGCAACTGCTTCTGTGTTGCTACAACAAGGCTGCAATAACACAAGGCAAGGAAGCAAAGAAAATCCAGGCAAGTCACCAGAATAAATTTATTCACATGCTGATGCTTCAGCCTCTCAGATGAACAGTCTACTCTTCTGCATGCCAGCTGCTGGAAAACTAGTGACCCTGGGAGTGATGGAAAACAAATCAGAAATCTATATTACTCCTACTTTTAAAAGTGGCATAAAGTCTAGAATTTCATGCGCTGTGAGAAAGAAATGGAGATCAGCTATATCTCAGAGAAAACGTGGGAAAAACCTGTAATGAGAGTGATCCTTATTTTTGTGCTGAGTTTAAATTCAGTGCTGGACTTGTAATACTGAAATAACATAAAAGAAGTATCTTGGCAGAAATATTTTGGATGTGAGAATCAACTTCATTAAAAATAGCAGACAAAGACTATTCCCTAGGATGGGATTGTGAAATGTCTTATAACTTAAGAGAGACAGGAAGGGACTTGACTTTTCCTGGAACACCATGACTCCCACAGATTTCAGTGGGGCTTCCACATAGTCCAAGCATTGCGGGCACAGTTTTTACTACTGCAAACAGTTTTTCAAAGACCTACTGAGTTTCTCACCAATTCACATAGAAAGAGCACATCTTGTAATAGGGACCAGGTGGCTTCTGCCCTACCTATTTGAAGAATCTTTGTGTGTCAGCCCCACACACATTTCTAACAAGGCTGGTGCGGCTGTTGCTTTCCAAGGGAAGCAATGAAGAAACAATTTAAGTGGCGAAGTGCTCCACCTCTCCTGCAGCTCTAATGTACAGGCTGCTTTACTTTCAGTGAACAGACACTACGAGAATGCTGACCCAGCTTCAGCAGCAAATGCATAAAGCAAATAAGCATGTATGTCATTTAGTATGCAATGAACTGAGTCTCTGCCTGGTCTAGATTTTTCCATGTGCCAATGTGCTGCCAGCAATCCAAAGGCCAAAGGACATCACACTTGCACAGACAAAGGTGAGGGGAACTGACAGAGCAGCAAATGCAGAAAACAATGTTAATATGAACTACACAGAAACCAAGCGACTTTTCTCTGAGCTTTTTCTTTGCCACCCCAGCAGTGTGAGCAGATACAAAAAAAAAAAAAAAAGCCAAACTTGCCAGCTGCAAATTAATGCATTGAGACTCCTAGTGAAAGGAAAAGGAGGCTGGCCAGTAACCAGCACTGCCTGCTGAAACGTGAACCTTGGATTAGCTGAAGTGGTGGTCCCTGGGTTATTTTCTGTTTATTTAGTTAAGTAGCAACCCAGCCTCGTGGAATGAGCAAATCGAGAAATGAAAGCCAAGAGTGAGTTACATTTTCCCACAGAAATGGAAAGCTTTTTGATGATTTAATACAGTGCTGCACTGGAATAACACTATATTAAATATTCAGTCAGGCTACAAGCAGAGGAATATACGAAACCCAACATTTCTCCTTCTCCCACATCCACATTTAAATAGAGAAATACCATCATAATTATATTTTGAAAAATCCCTGAGTTACTGTATCTACAGAATTACCACTTTAAAATCACAGTCTGCTATTCTAATCCTATCAAAAGATCCAAATTTATTCTCCCATTTGTGGGTGGGGTTTCTTTAGCACTGCATTCCTTCCTTCCCTACTCTCCATCCAAAGAAGTGCTCTTCAAAGGACATTACATCCCAAGTGGATAACTGTAAGCATATTCTAAGTGTTTCTCAATGTGTAATTTTGTGGAGCTGCCTAGTCACATGTTGCTGGCATTCCTGTTTGTTTCCAACTGCTAAACAGTTTCAAATGACAGCTAAAAGTATATGGACCAGTTTTCTAAAGGTACTTTCAATGCAAGCAACCAGTGTGGCTGCTCCTAAGAAACTGCTGTGGTGAAGAGGATGAAAAATCATCTATCAATGGGTGAACTGTGCCATGAAACAGCTCAAGAATGCTGGATAAAAATCAGGGTAAACACTGTGTGTTATTCTTGGATATAACAACCACTTGAGTGGCAGCAAATTTCACTTGATGAGAGCCAGCACCTCAGAATAGGGAACATTTTACAGTACCTACACACCATCCCAGGCACACTGCTGGCACATAACCCAGTGAATGCTACTTGGGAAGCAATAGCTAGACAGAGGTTAACTCTGGATATGCTAATAGCAATGACTGAAGAAAAGAGAATACAACCTGCCTGCCACTTCTCTGAATAATCTACAATTCCATCCTTCACGAAAAAAAACATCCTCAAGATCCTTCAGGAAGCCTTTGGAAGGCCTCCCCCTCTAACACATGTTAGAGGCCTAAAGAATTCACAGTGGTTCAATATTGGTTAAATTACATAGGCCATTTTACTTAGGATTTGCTTGGCCATGGCATTCAAGTGATGACAAAACTACAGTGGTAAGAAAAATATTCCACGATAAATGCTTAAATGAGGGACAGTCTGACAATGGACTTGATCTTGCACATCATTAATCATGCAAGCAGCCTTGGCTGGCCTAGGTCCGTGTGCAGTTTCAGAGATACTTATATGAATGCAGATGAACAAAAGCAGATTATATTTTTACTTTAATAGCTTCTACAGAGCCAATAACGCTCTACAGTTAAACACATTACTCCCCTTTAAACCCACGACAGGTCTGAGCACAGACACTGAATAGTCTATTTCTATAAATGTCTGAACTCTATTTCTTGCCATTTTTAAGTTCCCCATATGCTCATATTCTGATTAATTCTGAAAACTTCTGAGAGTTCCCCCCAAAATTGCACAAAGTTTGTTCTGTGAGTAGAACCTTCCAAGGCCATGTGGCTCAGCTTTGCTATGGAACATTGCTAACAGTATAACAGTATTCACCAGTATCTTAAAATTCCTAAGTATTAACAAGCACCTTTAAAAAAATTTCCAAGGGGTTTATTCTCACTGCAATTTCTTCTGACAGGTTGAGTCAGATGTAATATGTTGACCACACACTATCTCATCAATTCAGATGCTATGTGCTCGAAGAAAAATTTCTCTGACATTAGGGAGTTATATACTTATTACTCTGCAAAAGAGACAAAGATGTCAATTCAACATACTGGCCTAAACCCTGAAATTCTGGTTTCATTTCTATTCAGTCCTAACCCTGGACAAATTCTCTTAACCTTATATGGAATTTGGTTTAGCAATGAATTCAGGATTTAGCCACTCTCTGAAACATGACATACTTGAAAGATGGCTTTCACTTCATAGCAAATGCTACTGATGATGACATTCAAAAATTCTGTAAGATTAATGGATTCAGAACTTGTTTGCAGCTCATTATCAAGTACCCAATCATGACATCCATAATCAACCTTAGTAGTACCTTACTTCAGTATCCCATCCACGTGAGAAACCCCTCTGACATCAGTGGAGCAGGGTGAATAGTAAGGTACCACCTACTTTGATTAAAAATGGCACAACCGAGCCCATGGTTTTCTGTATTTTGCACACCAGCCATAGATTTCGAGGAGGAACTACCACCCCTGTAATCACACTGCCTTGTATTGTATGGTGCATTGTGGTCACAAAGCAGCACAGCCCCAGCATGAAATAAAGGCTCACCTGCCCTGGGACACCTGATAAAAACACACCACATGCACATACAAATCTGAGGTCTTCTCTCCATGCTAAGTTTTAGTTGTACTGATCTAACAAAATGTCTGGGATAACTCATTGATTTTTATGCATTAATCCTGCCCCCAGATCTAAGCTCAGTTTAAAGTACAACTAGGCACAAAAGTACTGGTTATTATCAAAGGAAATAGAAATCTTTACGGATGTTTTCAAAAGGTGTTTTAGCCATACAGTGATAAACAGATCGGGTATGCCACAAGAGTCACCAAAACACTTGAAGGCTTACGTGGTGTTGTGTTTCTCTTGTATCTGTGACCCTGAGTCCCTTGTAGTGAACTGTACTGGCACTTTGATCTTCCCATTTTGCAGCATTTACATTCTCTGTGTCTTGAATGAAAGGGGAAGTGGGTGAGAGCACACTGCACTGCATGGAGCATTCTCCAGGTGCATCATCCCAACAGTAACACAGGGGAGACAGATGGCTATGGATCATTGCTTGGCAAAGACACTACAATGACTTGATGAGATCTTTGCTAAGTTTCAGTTACAAAATTAAGCAGAAACTGCAGATGTTAAATAGAAAATAATAAAAAAAAAAAAGGAGCAAAATCTTCTTTAATCATGGTATCTTCTGCCACAAGATAGCTTCAGGACTTATTAAGGATGCAGCTAAGAATCTCTTCACTTAGTTTTCCCGTTTCCAAGGCTCTTCTTCAACAACATTGAAGTCTGCAGATTTGCCATTGGTTGCCAGTGTTACCTGCAAGTAATTATCATCAACAAACGACTTAAAGGCCAAGGCACTTAGACAAGAAAAGTAGTGAGTTTTCTATGGAAGATTATGATATTTACAGGAATTACATACACTGTCACTTATTATATAAGTAAAATGCATTTATTCAGAATTCACAGCACTCCCAAATAGTGAAACTCCTGCTCATTTATTTATTATAATGACTATAAAACATCAGTAGTAGAAAAGTGTTCCACATTTTCTTAACCTTCACTGCAGGTTTTATATTTTTTTAAAATAAATATATCAGATTCTATTCCTTTCTATCTTTTGGAGATTTCTCTGGATTATTTAAAAAACTGGGGTTTTTAAATGTAGAAAATTGCATTTTTTTTCCAGTGGAATTCCTTAGTGAAGCTGCATACCTGATGCAACAACATGAAAAATATGCAAGGCCAGAATAATCACGGATGTGTATCTATAGAAAACTCACCTACAATTACACCACCTTTAAAGAAATGGAAGAAAAGATGTGTTGTGAAAGCATTGTTCATCATATCACTATAACAATGTAGTGAAAGATTTTGACTATAGTCCAATTTGAAATTCACAGTAATGCTAAACTGGTCTCAAATGATGTGCAGCAAAACCTCACTGCTTCCTGTAAAGATACATGCTGGAATTTTTTAGGTTTTAAGTATGGTAGAAGACCTACCAAATCACAGTGAACACTGGACAATATGTTCCATTCCAGAGATCAGTATAAATGAATCTCTGTTACAAAAAAAATATCTCCAGCCAAGTGACTTTAAAAAATAAAAAATCAAAAAGGTAAAATGTCTATTTAACTTTACAAAAGTGATGTAGATCTTGATAATGTGAGAGAATCTTTCATTTAATTCTAAACGGATGGATTACTTTTTCCTAACTTACCTTTTAAGTTAACATCTTCAGCTTCAAATGAAAACTTAAAGACAGAGCTGAAATTCCCCATGCTGGATAAACAGGATGCATGGAAGCATTGGGACATGGAAATATGACAAAATGCACTGATTTTTGAAACAAAGTCAAGCTTTTTCTTAGATAATCAGAAGGGGAAAACATGCAAATACAGGAATGAACAGCTTATTCAGAAATGAAAATCACACAGAGTCATGTGAAATATGATTAAAAAAATACAAAAATATCATGCAATAACAACCACTCTAACCCCATACAAAGGTAAACTACTTATTAATTATGTACATTGACCATGCAAAATTATAAACTACTAGTGTTATACATGGAATATATTACAGAAAGTAAATAGAAAGGGCATGCTAGTAGATTAGCTTTTCCATATCCTGACCAGAGTTGCAGTAAGCTTTTCAACCCACCAGCATTGGACAGGATGAAGAGATGGCTTTTCAAATTTAACAGCTGGCTCTTTCAGAGCCCCAGATTCCACTCTCTGTTGCCTTTGCAAGTCTGACACTTGGGAGTTGTAGACCCCTTCAACGTGATCCAAATGCTTTGCAAGTGCCAGTGTATATTCATAGCTCATCACTTAGGTCACAACAACACATCCTCTTGGCAGCTTGCAGACAGACAAGAGGAGTGACCTGCTCAAAGTCAGCCTTGTGCTCAATCCAGTAAAGCCTGGCTCTTTTCATGAGCTTAAAAGCGCAAACTGAGACTGTAAGCAGAGCAAACTAAAAACAATTAAAAAGAACAAATATTGCTAGCTCATAAATCACTGGTCCCAATCTTGAATTCAAGGGTGTGCTTAGGATGACATACAGCACCATTAATCCATGGTTTTGAGGCAAGCTATTGCCTCAGCTGAGGGAAATGATATGAGAAACTGAAGGAGAAAAGAAAATGCAGCAAGTATTGGTTGCATCCCCAGGCTACTATTTTTTAACTTGACTTGGAGCTCTCTGCAAATCTGAGAAACTGGGAGCAGATTAAATTATAAGTATTCCATTCCATAATCATAAACCCAGCATTGGATATGTAACTTAAAAAGAGTTTTCAAAAAATTCCAAAAGATGTTATCCAAAAAAGTGTGTGTGTGCACATACTCTCAATCTTTCTTTCCAGTGTTTCTTTTTTCTTCAAATTTAATCTCTTGTGTCCTTGCCTTTTTTGAGAAATGTAAATTAATGACAATTTTCAATTTTGTGTGTGTGTTCTCTTTCCATTTCATATATATATTTTTTTTTAATTTTTCAAATGGAAAAAGAGTGGGTCTGAATAGAAAGGGAAGGGCCATGTCAGAAAAATGTATGATTAAAAAAAAAATCACTTTATTGAAACCTTGGAAAATTCAGGGAAAAATTGATGATGAGATGAATGTTGTTTGGTTTTTTTTCCTGAATTCAGTATTACTTTTTCCCATTAAAATTCAGGTTTGGATGCATTCTCAAGAAGTAAGCATTAGAAAAAATTCATTCTAAGGAACATTTCCAGCCATGCTAAAAACAAGCGAAAATGACAGTATAGGATTATATTTCCAATACAAATGGTGATCTGCTAATGGATTTAGTACAGCCATTTGCAGCTAGATACTGGCTCAGCTGTGGCAACTGGAAGATACAAGAGAATCTGTTTGGATAAATGGCTAAGGTAGGCTGATTGGCAAACCCACTGTCTCAAAGACAGTGTACAGCATCAGACTGGAGCATTAATAAATGCAAAAAAAAAAAAAAACCTATGAAATTAGAAGTCCCACCTTGTTTTACTTTCTTTTCTCCTCCTTCTCAAAAGCTCTCTCTGGATTTTAAGCTGCCCCATCCCAGCAGTGGGTTCTCAGTGAACTTTTAACCACTAACCTCCCAAACCGTCCTGGCATTCAGCTGGCGGGGCTGCTCAAGCTCACTTCACTCTGATCAAGATGCCATTCTTAGGGTTAATATTGCATGTTAGTTACAGCAAGGGTTACAGAGGGAGGAGGGTGTTGGTGCCTTAGTGCCTCGGGGAGGAGCACTGACAGAAGAGAAGCAGAAGCTGTGTGAGTGCAGGAGCATTCTCATGCTAAAGCGCATTCCACGTGTGTCCACCTCTCAACAGCATATCATGAAGGCAGTCAGCAAGTGACACCACCTGCATCTGAATTGCAGCCATCCTTCATTTGGGTTGGCAATTAAGTTCTCTGTTGCCACAGAAAATTAAGTAAATGTCCACAGAAGGTGATGCCATATTCTCTGTGTCTTGGCATATTCCATAATACGCTGCATCTTGCCTTTTGATATGTAAACAAAGTACATGATTTTTTCCCATCAAATGACAAGTTTTAGGAAGAGTGCAAAAAAACATCTTTTGAACTGCTCAAACACATTCAAAATGTCTGGGGTTCATGGACCTTGTTGTCACATTGTTATTTGCAGAACGATTTGAAAAATACATGCAGGTTAAAAAATAAGATAAAATAAAGCATGCAGTGCTATATACATGTCTCAATATCCATAAATGTGAAAGGTACCTTGCACTCATCTACCATGACTGAGTTGTGAGCTGCAAAAACACATTGGTTTGAGTTGTTTTCCCTATGATTTTTCATGTCGTCATAGATTGACTGAGTCTTGGTCATTTCAATGTCTTCATGTCCTTTGTGATGGGAATCAATGGTGTCAAGTTCTGCCTTGGAAAGGTGGTAGACAATGCCAGCACCAAAAGAATCCCCCACTACATTGACTGACGTTCTCATCCGGTCCCTACAAAAGAAGGAAAAGGCAGAGGCTGAATGGCATGAGAGGAAGAAAAAGCAGGGCATGGCAGCCCTGTTTATGGTACAGTTACTGCATTTGTCTCAGGAAGCTCAAGGTATCTTTTGAACAGAGAGATTTCATGGAGTTTGGCAGAGAAGGAATGCTAGATCACAGCCAAGCTGCAGAGCTGTGCTTGACTGAGATCCCCCGGTGCCTGCTTCTGGAGCTGCAGGTTTCACTATCAGGGAGCCAGGCCCACACCCCTGCCCTTCGTTTAATCTGAATTTTTCAGAGCACTGAACTTAATGCAGCCAGAGAAAAGGATTTTGGTTCTGATGAGCTGTTCTCATTTCTAGTATTAATTAACAAAATTAATCTCCCTTTACTCTCAGTGAGCAAACTATGGGGAACAAAAATGCCTGAAAATATCTCCATAATGCTTAGGCTATTGAAGCTGCTCTCCTGGCACCATCTTTGCAGATGGCCATCTGTTGGTGTGGCAGCATGCCTGCTCACTTTACATGTGCCAGAGCTTGGCATATGAGCAACCCAAATATAGGTCATGGCCTACAAAATTATGAGCCTGTGACAGCATTTCACTAACGAGTGCCCCTTGTTGTAGGAGGGTGCCAACCAAGGCTAACATGATTCATTACAAAGAAATATGTTTGTTGGCACTTTCTGGACAGGATGCCATTAAACAGACATGCCACCCTTCTCCTGTCTTGTCTTCAGTGTGGCTCTATCTGTCAACAGTGAAGTCACAGTTGTGGATTTTCCCTGACTTCAGAATTCTGCTCCAAACCTGACTAAAATTCCACATAAAATGGGAGCTGGGTCTATGCTATCTTTCCTGCTGCAGCACACATGTTAAAATCATTTACAATCTCATTTGCCTCTTCATATCTGCACTAAACATAAAACTCCTAAAAACCTTCTGGCCAAGAGGGTTGCAAATTAAACTGACTGAAAGCAACTGAGTCTAGCTGTGCCAAATAGGTCAGAGAAGTGATTGCACTGATTAATTCTCAGAAGTATATTCAAAATGGCCAGGTTGAACAGTGTGGACATTTGCCAAGTGACAAAAGCAAGTCTGTAAGGCCTCATTTCCCAAGACAGTGACTAATTTCAAAACAACCTTTCTAGTATTTCTAGTAGTAGATTTGTGTGACATCTCCTTTTTCTGTAGAACACCGAGAAGAAAACATTTAAATAAATAAAATCCCAACTGATAAACATTCATTATTCATGCTTATTCATGAGCATATAAACTTTTGAGCCCATTTTAACATCTTTGCTCTACACATTGGTAAATCTGCCTTTCTCAGCTGTGGAATTGTAGTCCCATTCAAGTTTCTCCTGTCCCTTTCAACATTATCATGCTTACATATTTACATACTCTGTGGTGTCATATTTTACTGAAGCAGTTAATTTTCTTTTTTTTTTGGCTTCAAAAGAATACCCAGAAGGGAAAAAACCTCTACAGCAACTCCCCCTAGAAACAAACCAACAACCTATAGGAGGAAAACGTTCTTCCAGTTTTGCTTCACACAAATTAAATGCTTTATACAGTTCTCATTCAATGCCTGTGAAGACTATTTTAAACCTGGTCAGGGTGGTAGAATAGGAAAATAAGACTTTCTGGTGTGATTTTTAATTAAGACCATTAAATGCACTGAACCTGGCAATACAACTCTACAAAAAGAACACCTACTTAATTTTTTTGCATGAGTGGTATTAAATTTTGAAAGGATTCACTGATGCCAGATGACAGAGAGATAGTAGGATGCCAAAAAACCAAGGTGGAGAGAATACATAAATATAATTGAGGCAGAATTCAAATTCTGAAAGGGTCATTTGAGGGGATGCTCCAGCTCATGCACACGTAGCACACTAGCTGAGAGATTCAGCAACACAAACTGCTCAGTGATGCACAGTGTGTTACACTGTGCCATCTGAAGGAAACCAGGAACTCCTTACAACACAAACAGCCAAGTCTCAGCTGTCAGGAATCAACTGCAAAGTGCCACTGACCTCTCTGGGGGCAAAGAACACCCTATGAAGAACAAAGACAATTGTACTTACTCTTTTTTTAAAACCAACCAACCAATTAATTTCAGGCAAGTGGGGTGCTGTGAACAAGACAAATATAGGAAAGTTGCAGTCTAGACCCTGTTCCTAACATCCAGACTTCAACTGGGCCTCAATATTCTGAATCTAGATCTAAGCCAAGGCTTAGATCAGAGTCAGAATATTCAGACCCAGAGTCAGAAGTGAAGGAATCTTTTTCTGAGTTACTGAATGAAGGTTTAAGTACCAGATCAGCTGCCCAAGCTCATTTTCCCTAATTCCTCTCTCTTTGCTGCAAAATACCACTAATCTGGTACCACGGATATTTGCTAAGCTTGTCAGCTCACATCTGGAGAGTACCCAGTTTGTGGCTCAAGCAAAATAAGCTCATTTTATTCCATCTGTTGGCATATCATTACTGTCCTATTAAATGTCACTACTGCGTTGTGCTTGGTTTTAAACTGTAAGAGAGACTGTAAGAGTTGTGAAATCCTGGGAAACTCGCCTAGTTGAAAGAGCTTACACTGGGTATGTGTGCATGGGAGGCAGAAAGATTGAACAACCCAACAGATACTAGAGAGGCTTGAGAAAAAATTGGTATGGAAGCCTTTCAGCTCCAGTTTGAAGGAGAGAAGAGTGCCAAGTTTAAGGATTTGACATAAAGTGGTCTTTGTGTTACGCAATGACCACATCGTGCAAAGCTGGTTTTGGTAAGACCACAGTTTCAGATTGGTGGTAGTACTGTAAAATCAGCTGGTGTTCTGATATTTGCTTTTATCAAAAATAATGAAAAACTCATAGAGTAGAATATTTTTAGAAGATTTTTATCTGAAATTGAAATGTTATTGAAGGGCTGCTTCAAGTATTTCTACATGGCTGATTGCATTTACTCATGGGTTCCAGAGAAGTGCCTGGAATTGGGTCTCAAATATTTTATTAACTTTCTCTTCTACATTCTTTTAGAAATACTGCTATAACATTATTTAACGTTTGTAAGTAAAGAAAATGTGTTTTTATGACACTTCATTTCAGATATTCTTTAGGTCTGGTTTGTGTGTGCAACAGCTTGCTCAGAAGTTGGCCTTTTCTTAGCACAGCAATACCAGCAGCATCGTTTTTCATAGTTCATTAGATCATTGTGGCTACCACAACACGGCCACTGGAAGATGGAAAATGGAACTATTAGTTGTTGAACATAGATTAATAAGTACAGTGGCAATGCACAGAGATTTTCATCTCTTCTTTTATCTCTTTTCCTTTTACCTCTCAGTTCTGAATCACGCTGCACTGGCACTGCTCTAGGGAGGCCACGAGGATCCAAACCCAACTGTTGGGGCTGAAAGTGCCCTTGCCTTGCATTTATTTTGGAAAGACATCTTGAAGCATTTCTTTCAGAATTCTTATCCTTCCTCTTCCTACATTCATCATGGCTACAGCTCCACACTACAGAAGATTTTATTTCTTAAGCAAGGTTGGATTAGCCAGTGGGGAAAATGCTGCTGAAATGCAACACCCACTATGGATCAGAAGTGCTGATAAACTTACAGCTCTGAGGCTTGCTAGTGTAGGCAAAGCTTCTCAGTCCACAGGAATATAGTAAAAATACATTTCCCTAAAAAAAACCCAAATAAACCACAGGCTTCTTTTGTACATCCTCTTACCAGCTGCAGAAACCTGCCTATTTGCCTAACTTGGAGAGCCAAGAAAAACAGATATTTAAAATATATATTTTATATATTTTTTCTCTCCTTCTTCCAGCTGCAGATTCCTATACCACTTTCCTGTTTTCAACTATGACATCAGAAATATAATAAACCCACTGAACATCACATCCTTCCCTATGCCTGCTGTACCTTCTCATTTCACTATTCTGTACCATGATATCATGAAATTCAGTTATATATAAATCATAGAAGTCAAATTTTCCCTTTGCCTCCTCAAGCTGTAAATTCCTCTTTTTCTCTTCCCTGAAGCAGAAATCAGAGCTGCTTAGCAGAATTCTTAGAGACAGATAAACCATGCCAGTAGACCCAAAGTACATGTACAGGATTGATTAAGTTCTTGAATTCTTCTCAATAAGCCAAAAGATAATGACAGAAAATCGAACTTCTGTTTTATCTCCTCATGTACATTCTCAACTCTGCTATTTCTTCTTGCATAATTTTAGTTGTGTATCTGGAAATGAAAGCTACCAGAAGCTGAGGCAGCTGAGGCTGCTAGTGTAGGAGAAAACACACAAATAGTACATTTATATTTATGCCTCCCTTCCTGGGCACCACAGCTGGAACAACAAAATCAAATGTCTTTACTACTTTAAAGGATATCAGGTGAGAGCTGGCTGTTGAGCAGAATTGACCAGAATAGACCAGAATAGACCAGAATAGACCAGAATAGACCAGAATAGGCCAGAATATACTGTGCTGCAGCAGTACAGGACAATATGAAAGTGTCTCTAGAGTCCAGTACAACTAAAGGGCTACTGAGTCCCTTTCAGCTCTGCACAGATGACAGAAGGATATGCCAGCTGTCAAATGACAGCAAGAGAAAGGATGTGGTCTGGCATACCCTTGTCTGTATTTACAGCTTCTGTATTTAAGTGTTGGAGACCAATAGCCTCAGAAAACAATATGTGGGTTGGCTGTTTCTTGCTGAAGGACCTGTAATGGCACTGGAGGACTTTGATCACAAGTTCTTGGAAATGAAAGCCGTTCTTTATAGTTTGAATGATCTGTCAGTAAAACGAAACTAGGGAATTACCTTTTTAATTTCAGTTTTCATTCTTATTTGTCTTTGGTCTTTGTCCTGCCCTGGAACAGCTCTTTTAAAAGATATTTTACTTTCTTATGTACAAAAAGAAATCGACTTTCCCCCCTACAAGTATAAAACATTTGATACTACAAATGCCCAAATCACTCTATAACTTGCTGGCAACAGCCTGATGGAACTTGCATTTTCAGCGTTCATCCTTCGTTTTAGACCAGAACTATAATAAATGGAAATATGAAAGCAAAGATTAGAAAACTGCTCTTGAATGATGGAAAGGCATCATTAGGAAGAAGATAATATAGAAGTGTGAGCTCACAGGTGTGCCAAGAAGACTCTTGGCTCATGGAAACTGACTTCAGCAGCTCTGTAAGAGTTTGTAACAGCTGAGAAGCTGCTTTGTCTCCTACTTCACTGAATAGAGGAGAGACTGACTGTGGACAAGCATTACTTCACCACCTTTTCTGCACCGAGCAGCAGAGTCAGCACAACTTACAAAAGCCAGTCAACAGCAACAAGCAAACTGATGTCCTGGGTAGGGAGACCCACTGCAGTCAGGATCAGCAGCATAGTGACAAGTCCTGCGCTGGGAATGCTGGCAGCTCCAACACTTGCAAGGGTGGCAGTCAAACTGCAAAAACAAAAATCAAATAGGAGTAGCAGGAAGAGAACACACCCTTTACTTGAATACTCGTGTGACCATTAAGGAAGGTCATATTTTTAATGTGTTCTTCTCATAAAACACAACTATATGATAAATCAAGGTAAGCTCAGGTCCTATTTTTCACTCTTGTGTTTCTCTAGAAATATTTATTAGGGGAGGCCAGATCTGTGGGGTTTGTTCCAAGAGTTGGAAGACGACTGTCTGTAAGCTAGTTATGGCATTCAAATCTGTGTTGTGGTGTTTTTTAAACTCGACAAACTCATCCAGGGTTTTGAATCCTGAGTTTTGAACATCCAGACATGCCAAAGTTTGGTGGCCGCAGATTGAATTTTCAGGGTGATTCATTTCTGTTTATTTATGTTACCTGAAGACTGAATTATGAGTTAAAGGCTGAGAGAAAGCAGTTATTATTAAATACAGAAGAATAAAAGTCTGGTATCCAAAACTCCCAAAATACAAGCCAGTGGTGTACCAAGCCTGGACACATATCACCCTAGATGAAAAAGCAAAATTGATCTGATTGTTTCATAAATCCAAACCTGTGTTTGTTTTTGCCTCTTATATTTTGATGAAGATCAGTAGAGTGAATGTCTGAGCTTCAAATGTTTAAAAATACAACACAGACCATACAAATATCAACATAATTGGGTGGTCCTATAAAGAATGAAAAATAAATTTGTCAGAGGGCAAGTCAAGGGGAGAAAAACAGAGAAGAGAAGGAGGAGAGGGAGACGCAGAGGGAGAGGAGCAGGGTAAATAAAAAGGAAAGTGGGTGAGAGGGACCAATTTGATTTTTATTTATGCCTCAACATAAGCTAGACATGAGGTGAAACACTACTATAGGGGCTGTACACATGCTGAAAGCCCTAACACATGCCAGGTGTGAGGGGGGCAGAAAATGGAGGGACTCTGTCTCTGGGGGGACTTCATCTGGCAGCCAGTCAGGGCAGAGAAAAGCTCCACAACTGGGCTGCCCAGGAAAAAAATCCCCGGGAAATTGGGCTGTGGGTGGAGCCTCAGCACATAAAAGCAGTGAGCTGTGCCTAGACAGGGCAGGTGCCATTTCCTTTGGGTTTCTTGGAGGCTTGGGCTCACCCCACCACTCGTACCCAACAAAGCTGAAAGTGCTTCCAATAGAGAAGGGGGAGAACAGACTCTACAGGAAATACTTGCCCATTAGCCCCAGAACTCATCTGTGAGGATGTTAGCCTGATTTAGAGCTGCCAGATGCTGTTTGGCTGGGTCTGAGCCAGGCTGCAGTGTGTTTGTCAGGTGTCTGGGTTAGAGTGCAGCCTGGCTTACTGAACACCCAGAAAGGTCCAGCAGCTGTGCAGGCAGGATGCTCTGCTCTGCTGTCAGCCTTTGCACGTGCTGCCAGATCCTCAGGCACTTCCAGCCTAAACTGGTAAGGAATTCCTTCCAAGCTTCCAAGGAAATGCTCCTGCCCACCTTCCCACAGCAATTCTTGCAGACCTGGAGGGGAATGAAGCTAGCCCTGTTCAGACCTAAACAGAACCTGTCTTAGCTACTAAGATCACCCTTTCCCTAAGAATATAGAAAATGAGAGGAATTAAATGACCAGTATGAAGTAACTAAGGCTGGTCTAGGGTTAATTAAGTCTTTATGAGATTATGTCTGGGTCATTTGAATATTCTCAGTATCAAAAAGTGCATATATTAGATTAAACTTAATAACCTTTCCTTCATTTGTATTGTCATCTCAAGAGATAGTTCTTGTCATATTGCTGTAGCAAGAGCTCATGAAGAGGAAAACCAGTGGTTTTATAAATCGACCCAAGTTGCTCCCTGCTTGTAAATGTCTGTCACAAAGCTGGATACACCAGCCTTGAAATGGTGAGATCAGGAAGAGGCAATTGGTCAATCCCTCAGAAGAACAGGAGTAACTCAGGTTCAAGCCTACCAAATCTCCTGGACAACAGCAGGTTCCTGATTTGAATTTCCCTGGTCTCAATTTAGTTTAATTTGTGGCATCTCTGAAATTACTGTTTTCAGTTTTAGGAACAAACATGGATCATGCAGGCCTAGCATCTGCCTTCATTAGAAGCAGCCCTGAAAACCTTTTACAAACTTGGCTTTACTATTTCAGGAGTCAGGGCAGGAAGCAAACGAATGGAAAATGTGGAACTAGTATAGCTGGGCAAGAAACATAGAATTAGAGATCCCTTTGCAGGAGTTTCTTTAGTGTTAAAAAGGTTTAATAAAAGAAAACTGTGTAGGTGAAAACGACAGGAAGAAGACAAGCTTGGCAGCCTTCACTTGTGGTTTCCATTTTAACTATTCAAAATGTTAGACCTGCTGTCTTCATCAAGTTAAAACTCCCTTACAGTAAACAGTCTTCAATCACTCTTATCCTTTTTGTCCTGAAAGATGCTCAGCTTTGTTCTGGATAAGACAATTTGATATGAAAAGACTACAGTTAATATTTGCTGGGTTAGAGATAAAAGGGCTGGGAGTATCCAGACCATGCCACAGACAATCTCACCCTCACGATGGGCTGTTCTCAGTTCATTATTTTTTTCCCATTCACCAAAATCACAGAAAAATACAGACAAATATAAACACACAGAAAGATTTTTTAGGTATACTATTTTCTTCTAGTGCATACAAACTACAAACAGATATATTCTAGAAAGTTAATGGTCCATATATGAGTTGTAGCATACCCCTAAACTAAAAAAAAAAAAAACAAAAAAAAGCATTTCACTGGACAGAGAATGCTTTATCCTACAATTGATATTGTTTTGTGTGCTGGTTTTGGCTGGAGCAGAGGTAATTTCCTTGACAGTGGCTGGTATGGGGCTGTGTTTTGGATGTGTGCTGAACACAGGGTTGGTAATACAGAGAAGTTTTTGTTATTGCTGAGCAGGGCTCACACAGAGCCAAGACCTTTGTGCTTCTTGTACAGCCACAGTGGTGAGGGAGCTGGGGGTGCATGGGAGGAGACACAGCTGGGACAGGTGATCCCAAGTGACCAAAGGGATATTCCACACCACAGGGTGTCATCAATTCCACACCACAGGGCGTCATCAGTGCACAAAGTGGGAGGAAGAAGGAGAAAAGGGGGTTTGGAGTGATGTCCTTTGTCTTCCCAAGTGACTGGCACGGGTGGTTCCCCTGCTCTCCTGGGGATGGCTGAGCACCTGCCCGCTCGTGGGAGGCAGTGGATTGACTCCTTGCTTTGCTTTGCTTGTGTCTGTGGCTTTTACTTTCCCTATTAAACTGTCTTTATCTCAACCCATGAGTTTTCTTTCACCCTTGTGATTCTCTCCCCCATCCCACTGGTGATGGAGTGAGCGAGTGGCTGTGTGGGTCTGCCCAGGGTTAAACCATGACAATTGTCAGCTGCAGAAGTGTAAAACACCACCAGATAACCAGGACCTCTATGTAAAACATTCATTTGTATATCATTATCAGAAATCCATGGATTTCTTACTGAATCCAACTGAGACCATTCAGACATCCGACCCAAAGCATTCACATTTTACAGTCTGTAGAAACAAAGGACTCTTTTGAACTGACCTCACAGTAACTATCTGGCCTCCATCCAGGTCAATTCCATTCATCTGTGCTATGAAGATGGCAGCCACAGCTTCATAAAGGGCAGTTCCATCCATGTTAATAGTTGCTCCAACAGGAAGAACAAACCTTGTTACACGCTTATCAATGCCGAGATTTTCTTCAAGACACCGGAATGTGACTGGTAATGTTCCAGCACTAGGGAGAGAAAGCAAAAAACATAAAGAAGACATAATTAAAATCAATATAACACATACACATAAGGGAGCAAAAATCAGAAATTCCAGTACCATTGTTTACATTTTCTACTTCCACTTTCTGCTGTGATTTAGACAATTTTAAAATTAGGTCTGCATTTAGCTGGAAGTGGGACTGAGGCCAAGACATGAACATGACTTTATGTAGGATGAGAGCTTGAGAGTGCCTGGATGAATTTTTCAGACTCATTGCTGAGGTCTTACACCACATCATTGCACATGATGCGACAGACCTAGAGTCTGCTGTAAGAGACTGTCAAAGTGCCTCCCTCCCTGGGGAAGTACTTGGGCTTCCCCACCTGGCCTGAACCTATATTAATCCATTGGATTCTGTGGTTTTTGGGGGACCCTCACCACCAAGAAGACCTGATGGACAGCATCAATGGGATGGGGATCCACAGAGTGGTGATGTTTTCTTTAATCTGTCACTGTTTCTGTCTCCCTGTTTTTTCTTTCTTGAATGCAATGAGACTGGTCTTAACATGCTCTCAAAATAAACAGAATAAACAGAAACTTTTTCCTAGTTGAGAAAACAAGCACAGAATTCAAACAATTTGCACAAGTGATTAGGCAAATGGCAGAAAAGAAAACACAAAGTAGGTCTCCCAGATGTCTGCAGGTGGCTATGCAGCCTTTCTAGAGAATCCTGAAGGCAAGTGGTATTTGAATTTATTTCAACATGGCTGTATTAAAAATAGTTTTCATTCAATGGCATAAAATGATTTTGCAGTGAAGGTTAGAACAGCAAATGTACCATGTCTAAACAGCAGGTAATAATCAGCTAAAAATTAAAGCACACTGGTATTTCTCAGGTGTACCTGGAAGCTGTGCCTAGTGCTGTGATCCACGCCTGGAAAATCCCAGCAAGGAATGAAAATGGGCTTTTCCTTGTTATCACAAAGTAGAGCAGAGGCAGGAAGATCCCTCCATGGATGACAAGACCCACAATCACAGTGACCATGTACATGCCAAGTTGTCTAGCAACTACTTCTAAGTCCTTGATTGCAATGATTTTTCCACAGATGAGGCAGGCGATACCCAGCGGGGAATACCTGGAGGAAGAAAACAAGCATAGACAGAACTCGTCTTGGCAGTGCAGTCATAAAAACTGTGCTGAACAAAATACAGAGTACTTTGGAGAAGGAGTAGGGAGCTCTCAGGCTCAACACTGAGGTGCATGTCAAGAATTGATGGAAATTCAAGGGATAGTTTTCACATCTTTTTTTAAAATAATGGCCACCTCCAGCAAATTCCCCATCTACTTCATTTTCCATCCCATCAAATGGGATATGCCTTTCCTGAATAGTTTTCAATCCTGAAATTACATTGTACAAGAATATGATAATATTACACAGGCTTGTATCATTATAAAGAATGGTGTAGATTTGTTCTTAAAATGTAACTTTTACAACCCATTGTTTATCTGGTTTCAGGGGGTTATGTTATTTACTTCAGTTAAACTGTTTGTTGAAATGAACTGTTTGTATCTTGAAGGCTGAAAATGTTCTCACTATGTTCTTTCAATAATTCAGACAAACGCTTTTTAATTTATGGATTCTTCATTAATTAGGTACTTTTGTCACTTAGGGAGGGGTTTTGCCTCCTCAATCATTAAAACAGTACAAAGGAAACTGACTTTCAGAAGAGAAGTGCTTCCTGGTTTTTGTTGGAATATCTCCTGGTTTCTCAAGCAGTGTGCCCAAGCCTGGAAAGCCTTCAATCACTTCAAATGCAAGGGCAGCTGTTTTACCAGTTATCATAAAATGCCACGTCTCAATGTACTTGACAAAATACATTTCTTGCAGAGAGTTACATGGTGTCAGAGCCAGATGTCTGTTTTGTTTTATGCTTGTGTAGCAATGCCGTGCTCCTGAGAGTCTGTAGGTGCCATGGGAGTTGCAGATGTCTATGCTTAGCAAGCATAAAGCAAACAAAATGTAACTCTGCATAAGGAAGTGCATTTTTCTTTATAAACACACATTAAATCCCCCTTACTTCTGGCCTCAACAAATCCTTAAAAGTTCCAAACAGAGATGAGCAAAAGGAAATCCCAACAAGAATTTCCTTTTTTCATGAGAAGAGAAATAAAAAGCACATCAATAGAAATAAATATTTACAGTGAATTTCTTGAAAGTTGAAAGATTTCCTGCTGTTGCAACACTGACTACAAGAGAACATTTATATTGTAGGCAGGGTATTATGTCTAGTAAATGGTGCTAAGTAAGAGTAAATTCTAGCTCCTGGAGGGTTATGGGAGTATAGTCACCATATCTCTATTGAGTGGAGATTGAGTAAATATTGAAAGTTTTGTGAATAAAAAGAACTTTGCTTATCTACAGAAAAGCAGAAGCATAACAGGAATGCAAGGTCATTGCTTCAAGTTCTTTCTGCTATTCTGCACATTTCCACACTGTTGGTACTGTTGGCATCACTCTTGCCTAACAGTGTCCCTCTGAAACACCGATGGTACTGATGACTCACACTTCAGGCACCCTGCTTCCTTTCCTAGACACTGTGCCCATGCAGCTCTAGACAAGAGGGCAGCCCTGTAACTCAAGGAATCACTCCCAGGGACAGCAATGAGCCATGATATGTGTGTTCTGTTGGAGTGGCTGTTTCTGCTCTCAAACACCTAGGGAACACAGTGGTACAATGTCAAACATAGCAATGCATTTTTAGGTTCTGGGAAACTGGCTTTATGTGAGATGGCCATGCTTGGCATACAGATAGCCCTGGAGAAGCACTCAGAAGAACTACTTCAAGGAAAGAAAAAAAAAAAAAGAGAGAGTCCCCTCTCAGAAGTGTAAACAAGGACTCAGACTTAACTGGGTAAAGTCACTTCCTTAAAGGCAAGTGAGGTCCCATTAATACAAAGGGGTATACTTCAAAAACAGGGCAGATCCCTTCCAGTGACCCCATTGCAGCGAGGCTGTGAGACAATTCTGCAGAAACTATGAATGAAAGGATTACACATCACTGAAATCTACTGGAATTTTATTTGATGGTAAAGTATTTTTACTAAAGACCATGAATAAAATGTGTTTGCAGGAGTTTTTTTTGTAATTATACCTCCTAGGTAATATTCTGGGATTATGCTAACCTCTCAGGAAGATTGGGATGGTTTTATGTGGGCCATTCTTGCTTGCTTAGGTGTTCTCCTATATAATGAACTTCCATAGTCAATGTGGCATTTGAAGGCCTTTGCTGGTGCATGCATGTGTTGTATTTCAGCACACAAAGAACAGAATCTCTTCAGAAATTATTCCAAATGGGTCCTAAATAATTGTCACCAAATAGAAATAATGCTGCTCTGGTTCTAATATACCTGTCCAGGCTTTAGAAAGTAAACTATTTATTTACACTGTTTACTAACAAACTGGCATCACTATATTAAGGCTTTATAAGAGCTTTTTAAAAACGACTTTTCTGTGAGTTAGAACTACAAACTTACCACATGATCATGGTTACTAACTTCATTACAATCTCATTCAGGATGTTGAAGAAATCCACCATCATCTTGGCCTGTTCTCCCATTTTCCCCATAGCAATGCCAAAAGCAATAAAGAATCCTATCAAACCTATGGGGAAAAATTGCAAGACAAAAAGCAGGCTTTTAGGAAGTTGTTGCACCTAGTCAATGTCTTGATGCTACCTGCAAACCCAGATTTCCCAGAAGCATAGAATCACAGTTGAGGTAACTTTGGAAGGACCACAGTGGGTCATCTGGTCCAACCTCCCTGGTCAAGCAGGGCCATCCTAGAGCACATTGCTCAGGATTTCAGAGCTAGAGGTTATTACACATAGCTTGGGACTTTTTAATATGTACTCGTGCTCAACTACCATGATCAAATCTAGAAAGTCTTTGATTCTTTAATGTTTTACTAAATTCCAATTTCATAGCCCAACTATGTTTTTTTTTTTTTCCCTGTATTGATCTGATCATCAAAAAATACATACACAGTAATCTTCTCAGTGCCATTCAGCTATTAGAAACCTCCCGAGCCCTGGCAAATGGGGAAGGTAACACAGTGCTGCACTCTAACTCTGTTGTTAGAACAGTTGCTAGAAACCAAGAGGAATTTTCTCAGGCTTTACAAAAGTGCCTTTACATACCAATCAGTCCTGGAGTGCAGGGAGAAGCAAAAGTAGCCCTAGAACTTTTGTAGGCCAGGAGTATTCCCATTAAATGAAGAAGGTAGAGGTAGAAGGAGAAGGTGGATATTGGACTTAACCAGAGAACAGTAAGCAGATTAACCTCACTGAAAAGGCTGTGAGTGGGTACAGAATTGTAGCATTCAATATGGGTAACATTTGGCTCCTAAATGTAAATTCTAAGGTGTGAATATCTGGAGCATTGGACTATCAGTGTGAAAAAACAACTGATGCATCTGTCACGGATTACTTTGGAGCTGTTTCTTCAATGCACCCAGAAATTTTCAGTGTCCAGAGTTGGATTATTAACTGATACTGACAGATGGTTTGAATCTTCAGCCATTCTTTGAGGCTAAATTTTCAGTTATCATACGAGTCCAGTATTTAACAAATGTGTAAACTCTGGGAAATTCCTATGGAAAAAACTTATTGGGACACAAAAACATTCAAGATAAGGGATTATGAGCTACCAATACCCTGGGAAAAGACAGACTGTCCCATATCCTCACACTGAGTTTAGCAACCAGATTTTTTTTTCTTCTTTTTTTTTTAAATCCGATTTCCTGGATACAAAGTGATTCTTTAGAACCAAGCTATCTTTGTTGAGTCAGTTGAATAGGGAAGTGAAGCATATGTTTGTGTGCTGCAGAGCGGAGAGAAATGATGAAAAGCTTTTCAAAGACCAAGTTACTTCCTGGAATTCAGAATCTGCATTAGAAAAAGTTAATAGGTAGTTTTGTTCATTAATTCCAAATGAGCTGTTACGTTGGTCATGAGAGCCAGATTGGTTCCTATTTGCAGGAATCTGCCTGGCTTGTACAGCTTATCCAAACTGGATGGCAATTCTTACATTTTCGTTTCTTCATTCAAAGTCAAACCCACACCAAATCAACCCAAAAAACTCAAGAACATTTGAGAGCTATTGGTCAAAACACTACAGCAAATTCCCCAGCTAAACTGTATTTCTTTTCTGTAGGAATTGTATTCAGCCTTCTAGATCTTTTCTTATCCAAAACAGAGTTTGCAAAAAACAAGCCCAGCATTAAATATAATGCATCTCTTACATCAGAACAACTGTTTCATTTGAATGCATAAGCAGAATTCCAGGAGACAAAAAAACGGGTGAGGGTAAACAGCATTGGGAGTGAGCTGCTGCCTCATGCCTGGTGCAAAATGCCAACTTGCAGCTCTGAAAGTGGCTCCTCTGCCCACAGATGCTGAATGGAACAAGAGCCATGAAGGCAGGCAGAATACAGGGCTCTTGTAGAGCAAGCTGCTTCACAAAAAGACCAGCCTATAATGCTATCATCTCCCCTATATCTAAGCAAAGCAGCCAACCAACTCACCAATAGCTCAGGAAGGTCTGCAGGCACAGAAGTCACAGAGCTGTGCAGCAGCTGTAAGAGGCCATTTCAAAGGTTATGGCCCAGTGGTGAGAGAAAGCAGGGGATCAGGTACCCCAAAATACTGTCCCACTTTGAGGACAGCATCTATAGACAGAGAGGTGTCAGCCTCAGCCTCGTGGGCCTGCTGTCACAGAACATCTTTGAGTGTAGGTGTGAGGCTGCAAATTGAGAGCTAATCTGCGACTGACTTCACCCACATGCAGAAAGCAAGGAGTTGAAGGAGGAGCACTCCTCTCCCAGATGACAAAACAGGCACTCTAGACACAGAAGAGAAAATAGAAGTGGTGTGGAAGCTGTTTGCTTCTCGTGTGCCCCCATCCCAGACTGAACAGTTGCTTCAGGAAAGGGTGGGAGATAGGCAAAGTTTTCCTACCACCTCCACTTGCTGGCTTGTCCAGACAAGATGGCATGATGGCATTTGCAGCTGGTAAAGGTCAGCAGCCAAGATGAAAGGAGGAGGGAGTTGTGACTCAGAAATGTGTCAAGCCTTTCTGGGATTTTTTCTTGGGTGGTGTGGTTCACACTCCACCTCTCACTTCAGGCTCTGCCTCAAACCAAATTAGTTCAGCACACCCAAGACACCTACTGGAAAGAACTCAGCTCAGATCCATCAGGGGGTGTGTGAAGCTCTGGCTCTTGAAGCTCTCCCCATACCGTTTTGCCAATATGCATTAGTATTAGCCTAGGTCAGCTTCTTCTGGGATGAAAGGATATTTTGAGTGCCTCCTACGTGCTTTGCCACTGTACTCCTGCAGTTCATAACCACAAAGCTGCCAATCCAGAACAATTCACTTGCTGATTTCTGTGATATCTTAAGAGACCAATGGACAGCCAGTAGGTGATAACATTTGGTGATTATCTGGAGAGACTAAACGTGCACTGAAGGCCAGATCAGATAACACTGACTTAGCCACAGCAAAAAGCTCTGACACATATATGATGTTAAGTCATATTTGACAGGCAGAAAATTTTCTTACCCAGGACATTCATGCCATCCTTAAATTCCAGCCCCTTCTTAATGACCATTTGGGCTTCAGGTGGTGCTGTCTCATTCACCATAGCAAGAGCAGAATCAGTGACATTAGGTGGCTCTTCAACAGGTAGTGGCACCAGCACTTTCTTGGTGACTGTTTGGATCTGAAGGCAATAAAAAGGGAGGATGAGAATGCAAATAGACTGAATGCATCCATATGGTAGATAAGGAATTAATAATAAAAATTCTTCACTTGAAATTCCAGGGAGCTATATTTTTAAAGGATTGGACATGCATTCCACAGCCTCTTAACCCTTCTTCCAAAGCTAAGTTTATTTTTCAACAGTTTCAAGTGCTAGAAAGTACTGGGGGCCTTTCTCATGACTCTAGTATGAAAAGTATGGCAAATGCATGGTTTTTAATCACTACAATGAAACATTTTACAGCTAGTTAGTCCCTTTGGCCAGGCAGTTCACAAAGGGTGCTTCCCAGACTGTGTGTTACAGGCTGATACCATTTGTTTAGCACCAAAGCCAAGTTTAAGATCAGTCATGGCAGAAACTCTGCAGTAAGGCTTGTTATTCAGGATGGTCTGTCCAGATGAAGTCATCCCAGTTTGATGGTTAACTTGAATCAAAAATTCAGGACATTTCCAACACTTGTCTTACAGCTTCTGAGCCCTTGACTGCAAGAGCTCAAAATGGAATATGCACAGTCCCCTGAGCTCTCTAATTAAAAGATTGTGGGGGACAGATAACGGGAAAATTACCAATGCTGTCAGATACAAATCTGACCACCTAAAAAAAAAAAAAAAAAGAAGGCATCAGCTTCTGAATGTATTTGGACCCTTCCTGGCACATGAAAGGCAGGGTAAAAGAAAAGTTGGGAAGGTGTGGTAGGAGGAGAAGTGAGCTTGAGGTTACAGCTAGGAAAAAAGGGAGGAGGTAGTGGAAAAAGAGAGATCTGTGATTTGCTGCTTTTAGAAGGGATGTTTTCCTCCCACTTCACACCTTGACCCTTTTTCCACCTCCTCGTGGTCCTGGGACAGACAAAATGTTTTGGAAGCTATGACTGGCTTGCCATGTTTTCCCACCTGCTCCCTACTCCCCTTGCTCCTAGAAACACTTAGCAAGATAACAGAAACTGTGCATTAGCTTTTCAAAGAACATTTGCACTGCTTTCTTGTTGACATGGACATTGTAGTACTATGGATGATGATCCAGATTTGATCCATATGGTTTAAAGACTTATTTTAAAATAACTTACATCTTTCCTTCTAAAACCTGCTGCCTAAATTTGGAGAGGGGGATATAGACAGGAAACCTACATAGTTTTGCATGAGAAACTCTTCAGTTGTCCTGAAACCACCTAACATTCTTGCATGCCTACTTTTTTTCAGAGTTAAATTTTATCTGAGGGATTTTGTCAATACAGTACTTTTATTTTTTATGTGAGGTATTAAAAATGTCAGATCTGAGTAATGGAAATAAATTATAAAATATTAGACTCTTCATACTCACAAATTCCACTACAGTCACTTAAGTCAAAGGTCCTCAGTAGTCCTTTGCACAAGGCCACAGTCTCTAAAAATGCAAAGCCTGACATAAAGCTTAGATTCTGACCACATCTGAGACTAGAAAAACCATTTAAATGTCATAGTCATATTTACAGATGGTCCCATGGCTTTTCTGATGGAATAGCAATTTTCACTGTCATTTTAAACTTTCTTGTGGACCACACTAAAACTCAGGAGAGACTGAAATCTCCTGACAGTCCCCAGTCCAGTTTGCAAATGAAGAGTTCCAAAGCTGCACGTGAATCTCTGCTTTGTGTTTTGCCTGGTGGCGGTGGAAGGCACAAAAACCTCCCCACACACTGTTCAGCATCATTGCTGTGCACCCTTCAGAACCACTCTTTGCAGGATTATTGCAAAACATTTCTTCCTCCTAAGGCTACCTGGAAACTCTGAGTGTCTCTGGAGAGAGATTCTACAAATGTAGGAAAGAAAATATATGCTGACACCTTTAAAGCAGGTAATTTTCCTCCTAAAGAGAGAGAAAAGTAAAGCCTAACTCCTTACAGAGGAGTTAGGATGCAAAAGTTCCATCTAGTCACACTTCACAAATGAAATGTGGCTTTGTGGCAGAGGTTTTCACTAGAAATTAGTCTGAAATCTGCTAAAGCCAAACACCGGAAAGCCAAAAAGTTTCTTTTTTTTTTTTTTTAAACTAAATTTAAAAATAATATGTGAAATTGGTGTTCCATAACTAGTGAAGTAACCTGAACATTGGTATTACATACACTGAAAAAATAATTCTAAGATTTTTTTTAAAAACCTGACACAGGTAGCTTAATTCTTCTTTTTTTTCTGCTTTTATTTGTCAAGGTATTTGACCATTTTCAACTGACAAGAAATTGAATTTTCCTCTCTTCCACAGTTCAAATGAGGGAGAGGAAGAAAAAAACATAAGCACCCTGCTTTCCCTCACTCAATTTTGCAAAAATACATTTCACATTACATGTGATGTTTAGCCACCAACAGCTTGACCGCATGACTGACATTCCCATGATGATTTGGAAATATTGAGAATGTTCTCTCTCTAAATCCCCAAGGATTAGATGTTTTTATGTGGAAGTCCCTGTAAGAAGTGAAGCAATCCAAGCCCTTCTGGCATTTTAGGTCACCCTCCATTCTTCCACTCTCCCATGGCCTCTTCTCCCTTCATTTAACAACAGGTTTGGCAACAAATCCTGTTACATTAAAAATAAAATAAAAATAAAAAGCCAACCCCCAAAAACCCTGTCTGCCTTACTTTCAAACAAACAATTCAGCTGGAGGAAAAAGCAGCTTACATACAAGAAATACGCTTAAGAATATTTTACCTCCTAAAGTCAAGGTGTTTTGATTAAACACTGGTGAAAAGCTTTCAGACAAAATTATCTCCCTACAGAACAAGCTACACACGGTGCAAGCATCCTTCCTTCCCAGCGTGCTGCAAAGCTGGTGAGATGGAGCCACCTGTAGGTGGGTGAGCCCTTTGGATCTATTTTCCCCACCTCATCTGGACTCTAACACAGCAATAAATGCTAGGAGAGGTTGGGTTTTGGGGTACATTTTTGGCAACGAGCTGGAATTATGATCATCCATATATTCCAAACAGGGCATTGCAGAACCATCATCTCTGTAAGTAACAGCCAAGTGAAAATTCAACCTGGGTGAAGGACCAAGCCAGCATTCATGACCATAGATACTGTATGAAAAGCATGGAGAAAATTAAGGTTTACTTAATAACAAAATTTAAATAAACTTCATTTTAAAAAATCATGAATTTAAATAATAACTATAACTAAAACCAAGGCAGCTATAAATAATGTTCTTTAATTTACCTGCTCAAGACTTCACATCATCATTTTCCTCACATCATCATTTCTTTGATTAACCTAAACAATGACATTAGCTCTACAGACAACCCTGGCAAGTAAAAGATGTTAAACAATATAACCAAGGAGCAGAAAGACTTACCTGCTGAAAGCATGCTTGAACCAGATTTTCAGGGAACAAGTTTCGGATCAAATCCAAGAAGGCATCCAGACTAGATACTTCATCGTTCTTCTTCCCTTGACCAAGCTGTTTCTTGAGTTTTGGATTCCCTGGATGGATGGCTAAAACCAGAATCACACCCAGCACAGCAGCAATAATAGTGGTGGACATGTAGTAGACCATGGCTCTTGTCCCCAGCCGGCCACTTGCTTTAGCATCTAATCCAGACAGTCCTGCAGGTGTTTAAGAAGAACCAAACATATGGACACTCAATATCCAATTCAATAATTATAAAATAAAATCCCTTATAATTTTCAAAGTTTAATGACTACCTATGGGTGCCTACTTTCATCCCTGTGATATTCTCACCACGAAACAGATTAGTGATGCTTCTCCCTCTAGTTCTTATGTATGCAGTGTCTACTGCCTATAATTTGAAGACAAGCATTTAAAACTCCATCTAATTGCAGAAGAAGCATTGAAAAATAAAGATCTCCACCATCTTTTGCCCTTGACTTCTGCAAACTGGTCATGGTCTGGCTGACACCACACTTTGAAGAAGGCTAGGCTCACTAGTGTCATGTCATTTTATTTGCAAGATCCAATCCAGAAATTCGATCAAACAGCATACTAAGAAATTTCTGAGGGTAGCATGTGGGCATGTGTTTGGAAATAAATTCATTGGAGCATACACATACTAAAGCCAACCAAGTTACCCAGAAATTTGCTCTGAAATTCCCACTGCAACTGCAAAATGCTGACAGGATCACACCATTATTCTTCCTACATCACAAAAAGCAAACCAGGTGATATCTGTAGAAAGCATCTTAAAGTATTTATGGCTAATGGCTCTTACCTGTGATTAAACTGGAGATAATTAAAGGGAGGATCAGCATTTTTAGCATCCTCATAAGTATATCTCCTGGGAAGGCTATTAGCATGATGATGTCAGGGTCAATAGGTGTTGCTAGACGAAGGAGACCCCCACACACTGCACCCAGGATAACACCTGGAAGAACAAAAAAAACAAGGAGCAGGTGGGAATTGGGAGGAACTGCATGATGTGGAATACTGCACATATCTTTGAAGAAAACTTGATTCTTAGGGCTCGTGTCTTATTCTTTTTTTTCATCCTTCTCCTTGTGCTGTTGCTCTCAAATCACAAACAAACATCATTTATGTGGATAAAGTGATAAAACTTAAACCTCCCGCTCAGGATTGAGGCTGTTAAAGCATAGATTAGGGGAAAAAATGCCATGTCTCATAACATGATCTTTGTGAACAGGTATTTTATGTTTACATCCAGGATACCTTTTTTCCTGATTCTGAGCCCAAGTGTAATAAAACCCGAGAGCAAAGCTTGTGTTGTGATTCTCAGCAACTATAACTATGAAGTATCTCTTTGATACAATGAAAAATATATTTAAAACTTTTTTCTTGGACAGCATCAGGTACACCTTTAAAAGGTGATTCAAGGCAAACACTTCAGCAGTATGGGGTTTTGCAGGCTGAAAATATGGAGATGAAATTTGTAGCTCAAGACCAGTTGCAGCTGTTTTTTCAAACAATAACAAGAGTACGTCTACAAATTTGCTGCATATGGCTGTTGGGCTTTCAGTGAAAAAGAAACAGGCAAAGAGCCAGTGAACCACAATAAAATGTCAAACTGTTCCGTATTTGGAAGCTGCTAAAGCCAGAGGCAATATTCAGGATGAGATCATGGAGCGCTGGCTTACAGCTACAGAGAGGGAAGATAAACCTTAAAACCAGTGAAGTGTAAACTGAGAGAGAAAAGAAAATTTTGAAGAGTTTTTGTCTCTTTTTTTTTTTTTTCTTTTTTCCAAATCACTGAGAGAAAAAGAGTGTAGCACATTCAGTTCTGCTGGATGACATCGACCTGACTGGCCTTGGGGTTTAAGTCACACTCCTTTCCAAACCAGACACCTCAGTGGTGTGGATTTGCTCTGTGTTGTGTCAGGAATACCCTGCTCACCTGAACTGCACAAGCAGGGCCCATGGGTGTCCTATTTACCCTCTGGCTGTTCAGCTGGAATAGCTGAAGACCACAGACAGAGGCTGTGGTGCCACAGGAACAAATGCAGATACACCCAGAGTGTCCAGAGCAGCAGATGTAGCTTACCAAACACTGTGAGAGTCAGGAGCAGATTCCTGTGGAGGGACTGGCAGAACTGCACACATATGTTCCTGGATCTGTGCTCCACTGGATTTAAATGACTTTCATGCATCCGGACTTCTACTTGCTTAGGCATATTGTTGGCACTGGAATAAAAAGTAAAAATCAAGTAGAAGTTATAGCACAAGATGCCAAAAGGGAAATTCTGGACTACTTCCATCATATATAACTGGGGAATCTGACGCATATTCCACCACCTCCCACATTTCATAAACACTGCATATTTACTGCTCCAAAGAAGTCTCTGAAATGGCAATGGTGTTTCCTTCTAAAGGTGTAGCCTTCAAAGATTTTTTTTTTGTAGTTATTTCTCAAATGGTACAGATGCAAACAGAATTAATTCAATGGACATATCATCTCAAATGTTTCATGGACTGAACTACTGGTGTGGAGCTAGAAAACTCAGTTTCCCCAAAGACCATGGGTGTTAACTTAAGTAGGAGAGACAGCTGAAGAACAAAGTTTTTATTAGCAGGAAAATGTAGATTTTAATACCTTATTTAATTCCAACTGAGAATAATAGTTTAAAAATTAGGATTTATTTGAAAAATAAAGCATTCAATAACATTTTGCTTAATCTTTTGAAAACATTTAATTTCAACATTAGCATTTTATTTTAATATAATCAGAATGCTGAGGTCAAGATAATAATTTTAACTTGGTTGCAATGAGACTTGAACAATTACCACTGAAAATTGGTCAGAAAACGATGCATTTCCCAAGAAATGAAACCTTTGGTTTCATTGAATTGGCAGTGGTTAGGGGAAAAACGTTTTTTACTAACTCTGGTTTGTATCTGAGGAAGTGTGTAGTGGGTTGATGCTGGTCGGTTGCCAGGCATCCAAAAGCTGCTCACTTACTCCTCTCTGGACAGGGGAGAGAAAATTTAACAAAGGGCTCATGGGTTGAAAAACAGACTGGGAGAAATCGTTCATCAAATACCATCACGGGAAAAACAGGCTCAACTCGGGGATATGAGTTAAATTTGTTCCTAACTAAGAGAAGGATAATGAGAAGTAAGGGAAGTCCTTAAGAAAGCCATCCTGCCACTCCTCCCTCCTCCCCCAGCAGTGCAAGGAGACAGGACATGGGGTTTGGTCAGTTCATCACCCCAGGCTTCTCCTGCTGCTCAGGGAGAGGAGTCCTTCCCCTGCTTCACCACGGCATCCCTCCCACAGGAGACAGCTCTGTGAACTTCTCCAGCA